ATAAAACAAACCCAATTTCAACCCGAGGCCATATAATCAAAGAGCAATCATCAGATCCATTAATTCTTGCTGTCTGATTCATTACACACGAAACCCAATTCACTAAACAAAGATTCTTCAGCTAATAAGTTTACCGATAACAGAGACAGAGAACTTACCAGATCAAATTGGAGGCTTGAAGAGAGAGAAAATGGAGAGAGAGAGAGAGAGAGAGAGAGAGAGACTAAATACCAGACGGAGGAATAAAAATGGAGCGGTCGAAGACTTTTCTGAGCATTTTATGAGTAATCAGCAGAGAAGAACAGTTACGGTGCTCCGCCGGAGCAGGATAAAGGGTTCGAAGAAGGAAGGTGGAAATAGAGTGAATTTTGTCTCTTTACCCTCCTAATCCTGTTCTTTCCTATTTATTTCCCGCCATTTTTAACTCCACATAAATTCGGTTTTTGACCCAGAAATTAAACCAGCTACCAGCCATACGCTTTGGGTCAAAAAAGACCGCCGACAAATACTTTGAATTTCTCCCTCTTAGATTCTAGAAGCTATTCTTCTTCTTTTTTCTTGTAGGGTTTTTTTTTATATTAATCCCTTTAATATTTAGTTATTGAGCCCCAATGCACAAACCTCATTCCAAAATTAGTCCCTTGAAACATATTGGAGGACCCTTTACCAATTTCTAGAATATGAGAGACTAATATAAAATTGTTAATTAGTTATGGGGATGTTGGGGGAAAAAACCATTATTTTCCTTTTTATTAAATTGTATTTGATTATTTTTGAAGAATATATAATATGATAATAGTTTGAGCGGCGCTTTCACTTTCAAACGTAGAAGAAGAGATTGGGTGGGTGGTGACAGCTGGACTCATTTTCTCAGGATTATTAAATGCCCCTGTTGCAGCAGCTAATCACGGGAGTGCCCCTAGTTCTTAGCAATTTTGGTTGTGATTTGATGTTTTTGCATGTGTAAGTACACGTCTAACTGAAAATTATGCTAATGTAATTGCTTAATTGTGTACCACGTGTAGGGTTAATTGCACAAAACCCCATGAAGCTTAGAGGTTTTGCTTACGATGTTTCCAGCTCCCTGAAGTCTTTCTATATATCTTACAAAGCATTCCTAAACATTGGAGTACATCACAAAATCGTCAGAAGTTTAAAATTTTGTTAACAAACTGTCTATCTATATTTGCCAAATAACTAACGTCCTTGAGAGGAATAAAAGACCCTGAATTTACTTATTTGATATTAATAAACAACTTAACCCCCTGCCCCATCTTCAATCGAAAGTTTTTTTCTTTTTTCCTTCTCTTAGTGACATTTTAATTACTTGCCAATTATTGATATGCGCCTGTTGAGGAAAGCTACATTAGAGTGTTTGTGGGATGCTCCAAGTTCAGAGGATTCTGTAAAATAAAGAGCTTCAAGCTTAAGACATTATGTTATCAGAGCAAGTGCAACAATCTCCTAGTAGGAAGCTCTTGTTGGAGTGCTCTCAAGCATGGGGCGCACTTAGGAGCTTCCTACTAGAATAAATATTCCAACAAACTCCCAATTAGAATCTTAAATATTATTTAAAAGTTCATTCTTCCACCTCTAAAATTTTATAAATATATTTTAAAATAATAAATCTAATAAAAAAATATTTTTTAGTGGGCCCCCACCCCTTAGGAGCTCTCAAGTGCTCCACAAATTTATGGAGCTCTTAGGAGCTTCATGGTGGACCCCACCGTCAACTAGGACTTAGGAGCCTCCTTGGGAGTTTGTTGGAGCATGTTGGGAGGTTTTCCTTGCCACATCACTCTTAGGAGCCTCCTTGAGAAGCTGATGTACTTGCTCTCACAAATGGATCTGTAAGGGATCTATATGCAACTAGACTATAGTAAATTGGACCTGTCTGCGATTAACCCAATATTCAAATAGGCGCGAGTGACGCCTCAACAATTTCGCGGAAGGGCAACCTCGTAATAATGTGAGGATCAAGGGGCAAAAAATTATTGGAGTGGGCAGCGTTACGTTTGGGATGGTGGATGAAAGTGCCAGGTGGGAATAGCTACTGTTAGGTTGGCAGCAAATCCCTCACGCTGCTTCAGTCTCCAAATTTATTTTTTAATAAAACCATAATAATTTATTATTAATTCTTCCAACAAACACCAATAATGCTAGTATAATAATATTAAGTAGGATGGGAGCTAGAATTAGGCCTCAAAAGCATTGCCTGCCTTTAGAACTGTGTACAGCTTAATCAATGCTAGATTAGCTCACATGGCAAATGTCTTTTACTTGATTGATGCCCTTTTTAGAGAATTTTCTTTTTGCCATCTATACAACTTTGGAAAATGACAGGGGCACACCCCCGATCACAACTCCAACCACACCCTCTCTCATTTGCTACAGTGCATCTGGCCTCACATGGGATTTTAAAATTTTAAAATCCCATGAGAGTTGATTATGTATGTGAGGTTGAGAGATTAAGAGGCGAGAGTTGAGTGGTTCCTCTTGTAGTTCTCCCTAATACATAGTGAATTTCTTATATATGTTGCCTCGTGGACGTAAGTCGAAGTTGGTCGACCGAACCACGTAAATCTCGGTGTTCTTTCTTCTTGATTGCGGTTGGTTTATATCTTATTGATTGTTGGCTAGCTTCCGAGTTGCGGAAATCGTAGTAGGCGGGGAGACTAAAATTCCCCAACCATGCTAAAGGATCACGTCACTGTGCTAAAGCTTCAAATTCATGAGAGGATGTGAGGGTTATAATTTTATAGTGTTAACGGTCCAAACAAAAGAATTTTTTTTTTTTTTTTGAGATATATAATTCATGAACAATAAGGAAATCAAATTCAAGAAGTTTGGGAGACAAAATAATATCTTTGATCATGATCACTCGAAACTTTGAATACTCTCTCTTTTTATGTTTTTGGTAGATTCAACAAAAACCCTCATAAATTTTCAAAAATTCCCCGCGAATTACCTATGGTGCCAAACTGTCAATGATATAATTAGACGTTTTATAATTTTGGCTGGGTGGGAAATAAGTTATTGTTCATCCATTAAAAGTTTTTAAAGCAAGCGACACATTGAATCATTGATCTCAAAATGCACATAATTTTCTCCTTTTCTCCTTTTATGCCCACTTGAATGAGGGCATAAGACATTGGAATTTTGGAACGATGATAAACTCGAATCAAATATTTGGAGACTGTAGGACTATCACATCACTGAAAAAAAAAATCTTGTTCATGTCCTACGTTATTCCAAGTCTCTGCTCCTTGCTATTTTGATGACGCTTGCAGAGAAAAAATGAGTTTTTTTTTTTTAATTTCACATACATTTGATTAATTAGCAAACATTTTCTGAAGTTTAGTATATACTTTGTTCAGTAACTATGATCATTTGATATCTACTAAAAGTAACAATAATAAAAGGATATCATTATCTACTCATTTTACTCCATACATTGTCGGTGAATAATAATAATAATAACAACGACGACACATCAGTCTTTTCCTTCTAGCCGTTCATATTGCGAGAGTCGCAGTCAAAATATATGTCATAGACAGGGACGGATCCAGGATTTCAGTTCTTAGGAGGGGTGGGGCGCATACAAAAGATAGACGAAAAAAAATTTTAATGTAATTTTATTCACAAGAGATACACCACAACCTAAACAAAACGAGTAGAACAATCAACGTCAATATCTCCAAAATATTTCAAAAGAAGAAGATAAAAATTATGTAGAATGAATATATTTTAATTTTTAAGGGAAGAGATTTTATAGAAATCACTCTATTTTTTTTTCCATGAGGGGGTGGCTCTCTTGGACTGTATATAGACCTGCCACTGGTCATAGACTTATATGACTAGTGTGGCCAACAGAAATAAAACAGGACAAGGACAAACGTTGAATGAAATAGAATAAACATTTATGAAATTTAAGAAATATGGCTCTCATCTATACCTAATTACTTCGTAAATTTAAAAAAAAAGAAATATGGCTCTCATCTATACCTAATTTACTTCGTAAATTTTTTTTTAAAAGAGTTTGGTGTGATGATGTAAGGTTATTTGACTTCCCTCTTAACTACTATGCATTGGCCCTTGCTGTCAATTAGTCCAAATTTTACAGTAGGTACTAATTTTGTAAAACCATGATGCTAGAAATGCAGCCAAAAAACGTACAAGTTGCTTGAATATCACGTCTAAATGTATCATATTTTTCATGCTAATAATATTATTAATAATGAAAGCTGAATTGCTTACTTTTTTTTTGATCGAAAAACAGGGGCTATAACCCCGTTCATTAAAATCCAAAAGCACAAAAGATTGTTAATTACAAAAGCTTAGACACAAGTAGTGTCTAAAAGGTTGTAATATAGAAAGATAGAATTTCTACTAGTATTGATGTATAACTTTCTTCTTCCAAAGATCCATGAAGATGAAGAGAGGGCCTTGCCGTCATTCACCGTTAACACAGATTTTAGGAAGAACCAAAGCCAGCCATACATGTGCATAGTAGAAATTAAACTTTCTATGAAACAACAAGAAAAACTTAAAAGATAAGGATATCTTAAAAGATATTTACATAAGATAGAAACCAAAAAATGATGATCCAGAGAAATGTCTTCTGCCTTCAAACACTTGCTCGGGAAAGTGGAAAATTATCCAACCTGGCAGACAATTCCCTAGCCGCAGCACCTTTCCCATTACCTGACCATTCATATAAGCCATATATTGTATTATTAACAATCTTCTTGTAGGAGAAACAAGATTTATCAAATAATGTTTTATTCCTACTGATCCAAATGTTCCAGCAGATATATGAGATAAAGCTACGCCAAATATAACCAGCACCTCCTCGAAGCTTACTAACAACAAGTAATAAATCTGAAAAAGATGATGGCCATATGAAAGGAAGATAGTAGCTTTTAAAATGAGACCAGAGATGGGATGTTATTGTGCATGAGAAAAACAAATGATCCCTGGTTTCTGGTTCTGAACTACAGAAGATACACATTGAATCTCCTATCCAACCCTTTGACAGAAGATTATCTTTAGTATGAAGTTTGTTACTGCATAGGAGCCAGATAAAGAAACTGATTCTAGATGGGGTTTTGGTCTTCCAAGTAACTTTAAAATGAGGTGATAGGATACCTCTTTGGTTAAGAAACTGATAGAAGGACTTGACTGTGAAAATACTAGAGCTTGTAAGCAGCCATCTAGGATTATCTGGTGAAGAAGAAATTTGAAACCCCCTTAAAAGCTTCATTAGATTTTCTTTTTCCATTTGAGGAGAGGAA